CTTTTACTCGCCTCTCGCGTCTCTAGCCGGTCGTAAATCACGAGACAGAGAAACAATCCGTACCGTAACTGCTCTTGCTCTCATTCCTCAACCTCGGATTCTCCGGCAATGTTACTATCCCTTACGATCTCTCCGACGGCGGCGGCTCCACATTGGTCAACGACACAAAACCTTTTCTCGATTATAACCCTTTTCATCGATTTCTCTAAAAGGTTAGCTTGATCTTGGATTTTGTCGTATTGGATTGAAAAATTGTTAGCTTGGTTTTAAAAATCGAAAATTTCAACTGCATCAGCTATCGTTGAAGAACATAGTGATTTTGAGATGTTCCTTGGAGTAATAATGGAGGAAGATGGAAAGATTTTTGAAGTTTGTAGCTTCTTGTTGTGAAAGTGATCACATTTTTCGAAATCCATTGAGTTATACTCTCTCAAGAATCAAGAAGAAAGAACAAGCCAAGAACATAATCGCAATGTCAAAGATTCAACTCGCAATCCCCATGATTCTCAGAATGAGCCAGAGTTTTGATAGAATTTTATATCTTGGGGGACTCATATATGTATGTACCTTTAAATTGATTGATCATAAGTGTTATACTCGTGTAGATGATTGGCTTGGGAGTTGGGAGATGGTTAATACGGTTCATCGAGGCATTGTTACGGTCTTAAGAAGGCTCAACACGATTACTGGAGAACATCGACGAAACCAGTTCATGAAGGAAACTCAGGTGAATATCTTTTGATTTTTCATTTCTTCAAGTTTTATATCTTTATGCAGGAAACAAACAATGCGCTTTGTTCCAGTTACAATGAAATGATAAGAGCTATAACGAAACTAAAACACTATACTTGCTCTGTTTCGTTCTGTAAATTGAAATTCTTGTGTTGATATACATATATTTGCAGGGAAGCAACTGATGCAGAAAATTGCAGAATTGGTACTAAGACATCCGGAAAGAGTGAAGAAGCAGGATTCTCAGAAAGCAAAGAAGCAAGAACCTCAGGCGTATACTTCAAGTTAACGAGCTCGAATTGATCTCTACTGCTATTTTGTAGGCTGCATTTGTTGGTTCAAATAAAGGAAATTGTTGGCTTTACAGTGCAGAGGGTATATTGGCTAAAGACTTTTTTAGAAAATCAAATTGATGTCAAAATCAAATCTGAAGCTTCTTAATTCCCTATCATATGATTTAATGTGATGTTCTTTAGTGGAATATACTTCATAGTAAATAGTCAATTTCCTTTTCTTGTTTCTGGAATTTCTCGTGTGAAATCGATTTGTAAACAAGTTTCATATAATTCAATAATTAAAACCGAGTTTTTTTTGTCTTATCAATCTCTAAATATGTTTAAAAAAAAAATTAAAGTTATGATCATTCATTGAATGTTTAGGGTATAAAGATATAGGGTATAGGGTTTGATATATATTAGTGTTATCAAAGTAGAAATATAATAAATG